AGTATGCGATAAATCAGATAAATTTTAGATTTATATGAATTTGTCGGACATAGTAAACGAAAAGCAATATATATATTTTCAATAATGAAATGTGTAAATGTTTTATATGTACTACTAATCTAAATACATATATACACAATAAAGAATATTGTCACAAATATAAAAATAAAAAGTTTTTAAAATCTAAAAAAAGTTTTAAAAATAAATGATTTGGTAAGTCTAAATATTACATTTAGTTGAAATTAGATTTGCAAAACATGTACTAATGAGCTTATGCTATAAAATTAATAAGTATATGTAGAATTAATTGAAATGTTTTCATTGGTTGATTTAAATGACATTTCATTGAAATCTTCATTGAGTGACACATAGGATTTTCACCTTAGTGTCTCCTCAATTAATATATAGAGGATTATGACATGATTATATTTGATTTGGTTCGGATTCAACACTCGTGCCTAAAATCATCAAGTAATTATCATGGCAACTCGGTGGAACAAACAAGTAGCAAGCTGCTTTACATGATAGATAAAAAAAAAAACACAAAGATAGTCCAATTTTAACGCCGAGAAAAAAAGGTCAAACAGACACACTACAAAGTTTGCTGCTTAGTGAAGGCTACGCATGATGCCGTGTATGTATCCTCCCGTCATAATGAAAGACATCAATGACACAACCCCAGCCGGAAATATCTTCTTCGAACCCATGTACCGGCTCCCCATCACCCACGTTAATGCACCCGCCATCACTTTTAACAACAACAACACAGATTTCACGTGTTAAGGCTGTGCATCTATTCATGTGAGGAATATATAGTTTTGCCATGGGATATCTTTTTCCTTACCTACTCCAATGGTTGATGCAAGAACAGGTTTTGTTGGGAGCTCGCGGAACACATACAGCAGAACAGCAGCTGACAGTCCACCCGCAAACAGCGATTTCTGGCTACCGCTCTTCAGATAACCCATCAGTCCACCAACTGCATCAAAGCCATGTTACAGCCAAACACATCACATATGAGCTATTTTAAGCATATCAAACTTAAGATGCAATATATGGGGGGGGGGGGGAGAGTTCTGTCACAAGACTATAGTCAAAAATCAAGTATCAATTTATATTCTTCTTCCTAATAAAATGACGAGTCAACTTCACATGTCGATTCATCTGATAATCATACACAGATACAGATCAGACGAATCTTGCAGCAAAAATCGTATCAATTAGGACCATCTGATGCACATTAATTGCAACATCTAACCATTCTAATTGAATCTAAAGCTATGTTAGTCACACACACGAATAAATCCAGAAACCTCTATGGCATCAACTTTTGCTGAATTCAAGTCACATCGCAAACAAATACTCAGTGAGAATTAACAACAGCATCTTATAAATTCCTCTGAACATGTGGTGCGGTTCTATGAACCTTTGTCTTGTCAAATGCATAGGTGAATGAGTATTCTCAAGATAAAATAAAGTTGTATAACACATTCAAAAAATGGATTGCGCTAGGAAGAACCATTGAAGCATTGATCAGATTCTCTCAGCTCAGACAAAAAATCTAATGATGATATTGGTATCATTAACGCATCAAGGTCGATCTACAAATCCCAATTTTAGATAATGATCAAGTCTAAATGGAAGAAGCAGGTAAACCCCTAAACCCTAAAAGTTGAATAGATGGTCTAAAATGAATCTCATTCACCTCCAACGAGAAAAGCGTAACCAAGAGTCAACTTCTGCGACATAGACAAAGGCGTGTTCCTATTCCCATCACTCTCCTCCTCACCGTCATCTCCATCGCCTCCACCGCCGCCAAATTTATCACCTCCAATTCCATCGCCACCTCCGCCGTCGATCGCAGGCTCAACTTCAACAGCTTTGACTTCCGAATCGACGCAGTTTGCAGTAATAGTGGTGATCGTCTTGGTCGAATCGGAGGGAACAACGACCGCACTGAGAGGAAGTCGTCGGTGACCGGATGCGAACGCCAGAGGATGAAAACCGTTGGAATTAAGGAAAGCGATACGTCGGATCGGTGAAGCAGTAGGAGTCTTGAGTAGATGGATCTTGGGTCTGACGTGAAGGAGAGAGGACTGTGCAGAGGAACTCAACACCAAATCCGCCATCTCTACTTCTTCTTAGCTAGGAAGTCCTCTAAACGACCTTAAAAGGAAATTGAAAACAAAAAAAAATACGCAAGGAAGAAGTTGGCAAACACTCTTTCGCAACTAGAGTGTCTTCTAGTTAATACAAAATTGTGATATTTTTAAAGATTTCTTACCAACGTCAGG